AAATATACTTATTTACAATTCAGACTAGTGAAAGATGGAAGGGGAAGGAAGGGAGGAGAAGTAAAGAAGATCAATATGGGGCCAACAAAACAGCTCGGTGGTCTAAAGCGCCTGCTTATGTGGGTCCATCCCTGGCACCACGTGCCATGCCAGCCCCACCCCCAAAGTAGGCTGAGCCGGCCACAAGAAAAAAAAGAAAAAAGATGAAGATATGATATGTATGTATGTGCACAAATTTCCTCATGACAAATGTATTTATTCTGTATCTCAAACTTACATTAAAAAAAAACAAAACAAAACTGAAGCACAATGACTTTAGTACTACAAAATTGAAAGTCTTATGAGAATATCCCAGGCCATAACCATTTATAAAAATGTGACTCTACTTAAAAATCAAGAAGTCCTCCAGTTTAATCTGAGAAGTATGAGAAATAAGGAGGATCAATTAATATACATATTTTTAATTTAACTCAACAATATTGGAAGTTGGTCTTCTATATACAATGACATGGAAATTTGAATGTAAGCTTTAATTCCTTTCCATTTCAGTATATTCAAATTTTATTCAAAATTTTGTTCAATTTTATTCAAAATTTTATTCAAAAGACGATGACATTTCTCAGTGGAAATTTAGCGATGTAAAGATTTTTCTTTTAGTTTAGCTTGGTGGTTCTGTATGCTACTGGATTTTAAAACTAGAGAATGTTTTACATGTCATTATTTCTGCCTTAATGTTGTGACTTACTCTCAATGCAGAAGCACTGATGCACCCCATTAACAGGCGGGTACATTTGGAATAGAAAATAAAACAAGAAATACAGTTTTACATTCAGACATCACTTGGAGTTATTTTAATGGAGGCTGGTCCATTCTGCAAGCTTTTTTTGGAGATGAGACGTGGGAGAAATAACAGGCACACTGGAGCAGGACCGCGCTGAGGGACTTCAGGTTTGCTCCTCGAAGGGTCACAGCCACATCCGTGGTTGGCAACAGGTACTATAAATGTTTAACCTCCATCATTTAAGATAATGGGAAGCTGGGGTCCTGGGGAGCTTTTTTACTTGCTCTCCATATTTCCTTCCAGTTAAGAGAGCTCAATTAGTGTAAATCCTCGCCCCTGCGGGCCTTCCACTCATTTTGTTCTGGGGGAGAGGAAATGAGTTGCCCAAGGGCAGACGTGTACAGAGATGTGCTAGGCATCATCAGCTCAGCTCCTTCCTTCTTTCAGGGGAGCCTGCCCACAAAGTAGGACTTCGAAATGACAGGTGAGATTTATACACAGGCCAGAACCAACACTTGGAGTTGGAATGATTCACTTTCCATGCGAGTCCTTTGGCTTCCTTGTCGTTGGCAAAAGGAAAGACAAGATTTACATTCTTGCCTTTTATGTGGCAGGTGTTCTTACTGCTCCTTGAAAAGAGTTTTCATAAGTGGTTTAAATATCTGTTGTGAAACATTGTTTGCTACTCATTTGTATTACGTGAGAGGAAATCATACTCTAAAAAGAGTAAACATTTTACCCTCTGCACAAATTCCAAAATAACAGCTTGCAAATGAATGAAGGTTTACAATATTGTCCAAATCCTCCGCTTTGACAAATTCCCTAAATTTAGTTTCTAAAAGCTGCTTGCCAGAATGGTACCGACTGAGACAACCTTTGTGTTCATACAACTTTATTTCCTTTGAGGCATCACAAAGCATGGGACAAAGAGCTGCAGTTACCTTCTGAAGGATTCGGGAGCATATGCCACCACTGTGACACACAGCTTAATGGCTTCGCTGATTGAGAATGTTAAGTCCTCATTTCCATAGCAGAAATCTGGAAGGACAGAGAGTCAGCGTACACAATAAGGATGGATTGGGCTAGGATAAGGATGCACTTATCACTCCTAACACTGCCTTTTCAGTGATATTTTATAGCTGTTTCTTTTTTTTCTTTATTTTTTTAAAAGCACCTTTTTTTTTTTTGTGGTGGAATTGGGGATTGAACTCAGATCCTTGCGTTTGTCAGTCAAGCGCTTATCCTACTGAGCCATCTCCCCAGCCCCTTGTTTCTGTATTTTTAAGCTGAGAAAACGATTAATTTATTCATCTGAAGAGAGTGATAGTCTTTTTTTTTTTTTTTTTGAGACAGGGTCTCACTATGCAGTCTAGGCTGGTCTTATCTCATGGGGAATGACTACTGTCTAGTAGTTTGATGAAAACTAGAAATGCCTTTTGAGATAGTTTTAATAAATTTACTTATAATGAAGGCATTGGAATAGTCTAAGAGGAAAAACATGACGTTTTATCTTTGAAAGATGTCTACTTCTACACATTTCATGATAATATAAGACCATTTTGGAGAGTTACTTAAACTATTCAAGATAACTGGACCTTCTAATGTTTGAAAGAACAGTGCCAGGGCCGTGGTCTACTGAGTATCATTTTAGTATGATTTTCATGGCATAAAATTTCTTATGATGATCTGCAAGTAATTAAAAAAAACAAGAGATTTAAAAAGCTATTTGTAGACTTGTATAACATGGAACATTCTGTAGATAATGTATAACACTGTTCTATATTCCACATTATCTATCTATCTATCTATCTATCTATCTATCTATCTATCTATCTATCTATCATCTATCACCTATCATCATTACAAAGAGAAAAAGACATTAAGGAACTTTGTGCATTTACCTAATGACTTAAGAGGCTTCTCAGCTTTGACCAGCTCTAGGATATCTAATATGTCAGTGGTCTCTCCTTCGAGGGACTGCAGCAAATCAAACAGGCACTGAGCTGACACACCCTTGCTGGAGCTATTATTGGCAGCATCCTGTAGAAAGAAAACAATTGTAGTTTACTGACCTGCACTTCAGTACCACGGAAGCTCACTGGGAGATCAATCTTCATCAACACTGTTGCTAACACCAATTAAAACACCTATCTGGAATTCAACTTACATCCAATAGTGCTGGTGCCTGATTTCAGAGTGGTGCACCTGAATTGCAGGGGGGTCTATTCAATGCTATTTGAGTACAAAAGAGGTACTTGGGAAACTCATTACAAAACATAATATGTGAACTGGTAGAAGAGTTCATGACCGTGACTTTACTGGCATAAGATGGTAGAACTAAGGAATTTTCCATAATAGATGGCTGAACACTTCAAATACTTTTGAGGAACAGATGCTTTTTTAACTAAGGACTATGAATTTCACAGGCCCTGATCAAAATATATATCTCCAAACCAGAAATACAGTACTTACCATTTTAAATTTATCTGACATGATTTTGATCTATTCATAAGACAATAAATCCATAAGTTTCTATATGCCAGGGACCGTTCTGTCCAGTGAAGTTATAGAAAACTAAAAATCAAACATACATACATGGAACACCAACAAAAATACCTAACAAGAAAATGCAGAAACAGAGAAGGGCTTGCTCTCATGGACCCTAAAGTCTACCAGAAAGTATGGCAGATACACATCAATGAAGCAAACACAAGCATAACACATGATGTGGTGGGAAAAAAGTAAAGTAGGGTAGGTGGTAGAGAATTACAGACAAAAATGAGAATTCTGAAATTATCCTTTTATCATTTCCTATTTTGCAAATCTTGCATGGATGGAGCATAAAACCTGGAGAACTGGTTTAGTTATGTGCAGATGAGGTGAGGATTAAAGAGTAATAATTTTCTTCTTAAAAGAGAAATAATTTATGGTATTCATGTCTTACTGGCTGGAGGAAGGGAGGTGAGACATTATGTACAGAAGCTGAAAATGGTCAGACCACACATTACAAGTAGAGCTTGCACCTGCAACAGCCAGCCAGGAAACCAACCTACTGTCTCTGAAAACTAGACCAGGAAGCCAGCCTACTCTGTCAGCTAGGTCAGACTGCTAGCTCCAGTAGAAACCAAACAACAACCAAGCAATTACAGCCTAAAATAGCTGGGGCTTGACCAAAACGGCCAGCTTCCCTCATTTCTGAGTCTACTTCTAACCAAAGAAAGCCAAATATCTGCCCTGACCATCACGCATGAGGCCCTGAATCTAGTTAGCTCACGGACAAATTCCCAGGCCAACAGTCTTTGCTCAGGCGCACCTGAAGCATCCTCCCCTTCCTCCAGGAAGCTCTTCTACTCCTCTGCTGTGTTGGAGTCTCTGCTCAATTGCATCTGGCCCCCTTGGTCTATTAAACTGTGAATAAATAACCTTTTCTGTTTTCATTTGTTTGCTCTTCATGTATTTCCACAGAGCTTACCTACCGGAAACTCCAGGAGAGGAGCCACACTAGCAAACAGCTGGAGCACAAAAGGCTTTCGGTGCAGGGTGTAGAACTGGTGGCAGGCAAATTCAATGGCTCGGCGCAGCTGAGGGTTGCTTTCGTAGTCTGAGTACACCTATGGAAAAAATGCCAGGCATTGAACAGTGCCTCAAAAGTATGTTTGCTTTAAAAACTTCCTATAGCTATGTGGAATAGAAAAATGGCTAATTACACAAGTTGGTGGAAGGGAGTACAAATGGTGTAACTTTTTCTCCAGGAAGCTTATGAGTGAGAATTTATCTCAAGGGAAGAACTGGACAAATGTACAAAGATGTCTGTCAAGATGGTCTGCTATACAATTGTAAATAAACTTGAATTAACTCAAATTATTCATTTACAGTGGTTTGTTGAGTGCCTTATGGTCCATGAAAACAACGGAATAGTGTGCACTAACAGCTTGTCCAGCTATAAAGCTAAATGTAACTACATGGAAAACACTCATGATATTCTTTTTTATATGAAGAAGTCACAAGCATGAATAGTTGGTATAAACTTTGGTTTAAAAAGTGTGTGCATGCATTGGCCAAGCATTGGCC